TATTTATTTTTACTTTCAGTTTTCTAAATTAATACTCTCCCTCTCCTTCAATGGATTAGATCAATCTTCTACTTTTTGACTAATTGTTACATTTGATTTCTATTATTTGACATGTAATGAAAATCTTTGAAGAAGATAAGAGTACACTGAAGCGTGCAGTCTGTGAAGAAGCCTTTCGCCTAGCCCAACATTTCTTTTCGTGATTTGGTGAAAGCACAATCCATAAAAGCAAGGTGTACTTTTGTTTTTTGTTTTTTGTTTTTTTTTTTTCATTAACTGTTGTCTCATTCTTTGAATTTGCATAAGACATTAACAATATTTATATTGTTATTTTTTTAACGAATTTTTGGGACGGGGATTAAGTTTTTTTCAAAAGTAATGATCTAATATTATTATTAATTTAGAAAGAGATAACAAATTTTCAAGTCAATCTAAAAAAACAAAAAAGTACATGAATGTCGATGAAATAATTTTCTAGGTATTTATGTACTTCTTTTTTTATTGCAAGTCAAAATGTTAAAAACACTTCTGATTTATTAACGGCTAGAATGTTCTAATAACTTGATAATCATTCCAAATCAATATCTTCTACCACTGGTCTTACCTCCGCTATGTTATGGCAAACGCCCCCGTAGCTATTGTGAGATTTTTAAATTGGTTCTTTAAGTTTTATTTTTATCAATTTTATCCTTAATTACTTTGTTTCATATCATCACTTTAGTCATTTTTTAGTTTTCTCATAGGAGATCACTTCAGAATTAATCTTTAAAAATTTGGTCCTCCCAGTTATTTTTCTAATTGTTATGAAAATATGACTAAAAAAAAGACCTAAAAAAGCAGAATATTAAACTTTTAAAAGATATTATATAAATTTTTAAAAAATACTTTTTTAATTTAATGGATCCTATGTATATTAATGGTTATATTATTCCAAACTAATGTTTTAAACATTCTTTTTCAAAAGAGTAGTGATACAAAAGATGAAAATTTAGGATTAATAATATAGCATAAATCGTGACATTAAATAATATTATAAGTCAAAAAAGTAAAAAAATAATTATTAAATAATATATGATTTTTTTTAATATTTTAAATGATGCGATTTATACATGTCATTGATTCTAAACTTTAGACCTAAAATTTTTATCCCATTTATCATATTCTTTTTTAAAAAGTTGGGAATATAAAATTTTCAAAATAGAGACTAAAGGCGAAAGTAGTCTAGACTATTGAATAATGGTTATGTTTGATTAATTTCCATTTTTATAAGTGGTAAAATTTATACTAAAAATTAAAATAAAAAAGTAGAAGCTACCAGAATACTAAAAAATGTTTTTTATTATCAAGATCAATATTTTTACCAACTCTTCTACCTTGCAATAGTGTTATTCTTCGATATTAATAATTTTTTTAATATTATTAATTACAAGGATATATAATGATTCATGAATAGACTCAAAAGAAAAAAAAATTAATTTTAAAATGAATTATTATATAAACCCCCTTGCACTTAGAACTATCCTACATCTATGATTTTCGCAAAAGCATAATGTTCAAATCTATCTTTAAAATTATGCAGTAAGACAAATGCACGCTTTAAAAACAAAAGTCGTATCACCTACAACTCTGTTTTGCTTTTTTTTTTTAGGGAGAGCAATTAATATATATTTTAAATATGTAGAAACTGAAAAAAAAAAAAAAAATTTCATGAGATTTAAAAACACAACTTATAAAAAATAATCTCTACTAAACAATAATTTTAGTCGCTAGACGAGGGTGCAGGGATCCTGCAGCCTTCCTGAGTTGGTCAAATTAGTGAAAATTTAACATTTGACGTCATCGTCCCTAAACAATCCTCCCTTAGCAGATAAAATCACGGATCCAACTATTGAAATAAGGATTATATGAGTAATGATAAGGATGATAAAAATTTGAGATTAATGATATGATAAATATTATATTATTAAATTAATTGATATATATAATATTATAAA